GCATTTTCCAGCTCAATATGACCAAAAAAAGATGAGGAATGCCATGCATCTATTTATACAGGAGCTCAGGTTTGGGGCCATGCCATCTAACCCCTGTAAGTGCCCTAAATCTGTGGATTTTCAGCAGGATTTGATATCCCGGGCTGTTTGGAGGAGATAGTTAATGAGATAATGCAAGCAGTGGGTGAACTGTGACACGTGAAATGCTTTATTTTGAATGTTTCAGGAACGACGTGCATCAGAGGCTTTAGATTTGTAACCAAGCAATTTCCATTTGTGTTATGTAACTGACGTTATTTATCAAGCTCCATACCCTGGCCAAGAGCAGATGTTGGACTGCAGCATTGAAAATGAACTTTTCTGGAGGTTAGTTATTCATAAACAAGCCTGTGATTGGTTTGTTGTGATGTAAGCGTGTTCCAAAAATGTAGTGCACATGGGCCCAAAGCCTGTGATGGCTTTTTTTTTTTGGTATTAAGAGAAATCTGGATGGTACGGCAATATATGATGCTCCACTGGGGATGTGTGATGGAAACTCCACCTGAGCAATGAGTGTGATACTTCTGTCATTCCCAACAAAACACTTTCATAGAATGGCTTGGGTTGGAAGGGACCTCAAGGATTACGAAGCTCCAACCACCCTGCTGCGTGAAGGGCCACCAACCTCCACGTTTAATACCAGACAAGGCTGCTGAGGGCCCCATCCAACCTGGCCTCGAACATTTCCAGGGACGAGGCATCCACAGTCTCTTTGGGCAGCCTGTTCCAGCACCTCACCACTCTCATAGTAATGAACTTTCCCCTGATATCCAATTGAAATCTTCCCTCCCTCAGCTTAAAACCACTTCCCCTTGTCCCACTATTATCTACTCTTTCAAAGAGTTGACTTCCCTCCTGTTTATAGACTCCTTTTAGATACTGAACTGTTCTAGAGAGGAAAGTGCTGAAAAGAAGCTGCTTATGCCCTTAAAATTCTAATTCAGAGGTCTAATGAGTGATGAGATACCCCATCCCACTAGAAGTCAATAGCAATCAGTAGCTGTTATTTTTTTGTATGTGCTGTGGTGGACTATTTGGGTGCTTAGGGTCGTTTTTAAGGCAGATCCATGCATGAGTCCTTCTCCTGAAGTCATGGAGTTGAGCTTTTATGCTGCATCTATGACTACGAAGTACAATATGGATTTGGGTTGGCCTCTATGGAGAGGAAATCACAATCTCTCCCTCCCTTCCTTTACAAGTAGAAGGCAGAACTGTTCCAAATCCTGGAAGCATGGAGGGAAAGCATTTGCTTATAGCATTTCTCAGTGCCTTGCCAACTATGTTTTCTTTTAGGGCATAATCTGCAAGAGCTGGCAGACTTTCTCTTGGCTTTGCCTAATTAAATCAGCTGGGAAAGAGCGTGCTGATGGGGTGGAGCTCTCAATGTGTCCTAACCATTACTTTGCACCATTCAGTTTGCACCAGTGAGGATATTCTCCCTGGGCTGATTCAGGAAGATCTCAGGATTTGGCTGCATGGTCCATCTACCCTTTTTTGACCTCACTATAAAATGCTGCCATGGGTCCATTCCAACTTGGGATATTCCATGGTTCTATGATTCACAGCTTCACAGAATCAGTCTGCTACCTCCTCGCCTTTTTGTATTTTTGCTTTGCATCAGTCAGGATGGAACAATATGTTCCCCACGTCCACAATGGCTAGGACAAGAATGGGGCTAAAATTAAACCACACACAGATGGTATTAAATGAAGAAATGCTTGAAACGAGGCTTGGTGAAGCATCAGAATGTTATTTGGATGGGGCTGCGGAGTGCAGATGTTCCTTCCTGGGGCAGAGGGATGCTTCGAGCTCATTGAGTGGCTGCTTCACATCCCAACCAGGGCCTGATTTGGGCTCAGCCCCTCTGGGATGCCAGGCAAGCTGTTAAGGGCTACGTGCAATTAGAGACAGAGATGGAGGTGAGCTGAAAAAATCCTGATTCAAGCTTCTCACTCAGCTGCTGCCAAGTCCAAATGTTTAGGTGGCTTTTGCTTTATTTTTGTTACTTTTAAGCTCCCCAGCTGGGAATCTGCCAGAAGTCAGAAAACTGGTTATTAACCCAAACAGCCCCATTTGGAGCTGACACAGCTCAGAGCAGCCCAAGCTTTAGGGACATGGTTTTGTGGGCAATATTGGTGGTAGATGGATGATTGGACTAGATGATTTTGGTGGTCTTTTCCAACCTTAATGGTTCTAAGTGTTGGTCCTCCCCTGTGCCTCAGTGCTGGCAGCATCTTTGGCACCTCATGGCTCCTGCAGCTTGGGACAGAGCTTTGTTAGAGGAACTGAATTCTAGTTCCCTTTTATTTCCAGTCATGGATAGGCATCCTCTTCAATTTCAAAATAAATCTAGATCATTTCTTTTTGGATGGAGCCATAAATCTTTGCACTTCAGTTCCTCATCCTCGCAACTCCAGCCTATGTCTGTGTGGGTATTTCAGCCTGGAAACTCTTTGACCTGCTCTGAAACTTAGGTATTCCTTGAAGGCCATGACACACAGTGGCAGGCTGCTGGCATGGTGGGTTGGCTGCTCCTCGGAGACGTTTGTCCTTGCAGTTGTCTGCACACCACAGCACATAGCACTGTTTGTGTGTGTGTTTAATGCAAGTGTTGTTTCCCATAAATGCCTCTTTCTGGGCCCGGAGAATTGCTCTCACCCTCTCTCACCTCAGTGGCCAACTGAGAAAGGTCTCCTTCACTCAGCTGGGGGAAAGGGGGAGGATTTATGAATTGGAGAGATGCATTCCTGATGTGGAATGGGCACATTCTGTGTTTCCACACACCCCCTTTCCCCCCCCCCTGCTCCTTAAAAGCACCATTTGTGTGGCAAATAGCCAAGGGTTTTATGAATGCAGCTCTTGCTTTCTCCAGCTGCTAGAAACCTTTCTCAAATATGAATTAAAATAAAAGCCTCACTAGACACTTTTAGCACTCATAATTCTGCTATTTCTGGTCTGCGGCGTGGAGTTCTTGCATCAGAAATCATGGTTGGAGAGGCTTGAGTGGCTTCTTTCAAATATTATTAAAAGGAAAGATGGATGACTTCAATCTACAAGGGCCTGGATGTGATTGTGTACCCAGATTTGACATTTCCCTAGTTATTATGGCAGTGAAATCCCATCCCTGCAATCTTTATATAGACTTACCCTTCAGGTACCATTCGGGGGTGTTTTTGAGGAATTGCTATGCCCCAGGTTTGGTGCTCTAATAAATCAACTAGCAGGGAGAAGACAAGATCAGGACCACAGTCCATGCATGGGAATATCTTAAGAGGTTTTAGGCAAGCATTTTTCACTGCATCACAGGAGTAAGAGAAAAAGGAAACCATGGTAACAGCTGTGGGTTGGTGGAGCTGGGAGTTTGCAGTTTGCAGAGGGGAGAGGGATGAGCGGTGGCAATTTGTCACCAGGCAAGCATGGGACAGGAGGATGCTCCTGGTGGGTGTGCTCACAGCACTGTGGAGGAAAGTGGTGTTTTTTGAGGGAGAAGGATTTGGAGTGCTTGTAATTGGTGATTCTGTGCAAGGATCAGCCCTGTGTACAGGGATTTTGGGTACTTCCCTGCCGAGCAGATTTTTGGCTTGCATGCAGCCAGTAGTGAGAGGAAAAACTCTGGGGAAATGCAAAATCTCACCCACTGGGACTGTGAAGGTGAATCATGAAAATGAGGGTGGGAATTTAGTTACATGTAGGTTGTGGGGTCATTAAGGCAGAGTGGATGCAGCACTCCCATATCTTCCTAGACTTATGCTCGACAAGGACAGGTGAAACAGCAACTCTGCCTTATAAATGAGTATGACGTGGCAACAGGATGGCTCGATTTCTTTGCAGAAGCAGTAGAGATTATTCTGAATCCCAACCAGATCAGAAATAAGTAACACCACCTCCCAGAGACCACAGTGTATCCGAACGGCATTTGACACCTTTGCATGCCAGCAATGCTTTTCTGGTGGGGTCATGTTCTGTGATGAAAAGTTCAGTGTCTGCAGTGGTTGTGCAGAGGCTCCCACAGACGGATGCTTGGAGGTAATTACGAGGCATTCAGGCACTTTTTTTTGTCTGTGAGATGGAGGCATGTCAGAGGCTTGGGCAGCATTGTTCATGTAGGTCACCAAGCTTAACAAGGCAGCAATGAACTGCTGCACTCATTTGGGGAAAGGGCGTAATTATCTAGAGGTTTTGATGGGCAATAATTGCTAAAGGCTTTGGTACGTGAACAAGTTGCCATTGTGAAAGAAGTTCTCAGCCATCGACTGCTCCACAGGAGCTCCACAGTGCCCAGGCTTACACTGGTGCAGATGGACAGTGAGCTGCCTTGGGTTGTCTTGCTTTCATAAACATGTAAGACCTTTTACAGGGGCAGTAACTGTAGATCTGCCAAAGTGGGATAACATTTTGCAGTGCTGCAACACAACTGCGTGCCAAAGCCCTGCAAGCAGATTGAGGGCATGTAAGTTCTCCAAATTACAGCACCCATAAGTTACTCCTCTTCAACCTGCATGTCTTGCTGTTGTGTATAGTCTTAATGAATTTAGAGCCTCACCAAAGGGGCATTACTCATATTTTACTGATCAGAAGATAAACCCCAAATAACACATAATAAAGGGTGTTTTCCCTGATTCCCAGGCTTCTGAGCTAAACTGCAGCCAGTGCTTTCTTTAATAACTCAGCAGCGTATTGGGAAAATAAACCTGAATCTGGCCATCCATGTTAAAAACAAACAAACCCAAAATCTCTTTTATGAGAAATAACAACCTTTCGGCTACATTTTGTGTGTCTAAGTAACCACCTCATAACACACTAATGATTGCTAGACATAAGCAGCAGCACTACTGTATAGCAAAGATATTACTGTATTACTTAGGGTTTATTGCATGTTAGTGCATCAATATAATTGTACAGTCTGCTTGGCAAGACTGCTTTTATAAGCAGGAATATAATTTTACTAATGTCTTATTTCAAGTTTGAGAATTAATGTAGTTTTCCAGCTTGTTGCAATATATACTGAAAGCAGTACGTTCTTTTTTTCCATGAACTTCAGTGCATGCTGTATCAAGTACGTCTGGATCAATTTGAGAAACGGGATATTATAATGATCCTGAAAATATTTTCTGACCAGCTCACATGATACAGAAAGTGATGGAGTCACCATCCCTAGAGGTTTTCAAGAAAACTGTGATGTTACATTGAGTGACATGGTTTGATGGACAGTTAGACTGGATGATCTTAGTGATCAGCCTTAATGATTCTTTGATTCTCCCTACAGTAGCATTTTTGTCCCATTCTAGTACAATGTCTAATGAACATCACTTTCACAGCTGGCCTCCCCATCAGTTTTTCCCTCTGGTGCCTAGAGATTAGAACTCCTAATCTGTTTTTATCATTTCTGAGGATCAACCCCCCTGTGCTTTGTTGGGAAGCACTTCCAGTCTGAGTGTACCCTCTCAAATGTGAGCCTTGGGGGCTGGCTGGCCATGGGAGCCATACTTGCATCCTTCCAGAAATCTTTGAAGACCTGTTCCAACATGATAACATTAGTTTTTTTCTCAAGCAATTTGAGTAGAAATCAAAATATCTTGGCTAAGTTTGCTAGGTCAAGAGGAAAGATCTGGGATAAGCAGATGGAGGTGGAATCTCATGATTTTCCCAATTACACAATCATGTATCACTGTGACCCAGCGACTGCTCTGGCAAAGCTGCACCAGCAACAAAATGGGGTCTTACATATCTCTGATGGTCATAGCTGGACTGCAAAGGAGTGTCTGAGAAGGGGGAAACAGCAGCTGAATTTGGGTCTTGTGGAAACGGAGCCCCACTACATTGTGAGACCATCTGAGCTGCACATGTTCAGCGAAGGCACTTCTATTTGGCTGTTATCTCAGAATGGGGGAAATGTGGAAGATAAATCTGAAGGTTTTTCCAGACAAAGGGAACTTATCGAGTAATATTGAAACAGCCGGCTCAGAGCCAAGCTAGGATTTGGCCCTTATTTTGAGCTGAGTAGATAGAAACTGTGGCCAAGGATCAGCTGGAAAACCACTTAACCTTTTTTGAGATTGAACAGCAGCTTTTGCTGAGAAAGTCTGGTTTGAAATACAAGCATGAGAGAAATGGAGAGCAATGATTTGTACAATGATTGACAGCATGTCATGTAGGACAACCTACAAACATACCTCCTGAAGGTTGTGCCATGTATGAGCATGTACTCTGATGAGGTGCAGCTAGAAAATATAAGAGGTTATAGAGGAAAAAATGCAGTTTTTGATCTTTTTCACCTCTTTTACTGTACCTTTCCTTTATCCTGCATGTCTCAAATGCTGCTTTAGGCCTGAGGTTTGCTAGGGTGGGTAAAGGCAGAGGGATTATTTCAGTAGAATTTTGCATCCTAATGCTAAGGATCTTTCTTTATGGAGTTTCTCAGTGGTGTATTGCATTTCTCTGTCCTCCAGTTCCTGCTCTCTTATCCTTCATTTGACCATATATTTTATCAGCCTTTATTCTTCAGAAATGCTTATAGGCAGTTGGGCCGTCAAGCTTTCCCTTGTTCTTGTGTGTAAAGGCATGAGAAGCAGACAGCTCCATTGCTGAGCTAGGATGTTTTTACTGGATATTTCACTATATGTCTACAATGATTTCTGAATTAATTAAGAAGCAGTATTCATTTCAATTGTATTCTCCCTGTATGTGATGGATGCTGCTTTTCCTCCTTTCTAAGTTGACCTGAGCTAAGATAGGATCAGGATGTCATTGTCTAATGGCTACTTTAGCAATTTAAGGCATCTTGTAGCTATTGTAAAAATGATTCCCCTCAGGTGGTTTAAATGAGCTGGTTTGCTGTACTGTGCCTAAGGGGAAGAAATAAAAAATAGATCTGTATCATGTTTAGCTGTGCAGCATGACTAGGGATGGCCAGATTTTTATACTGAATTGCATATGTATTTTTCTTGTCTCATGGAATAGCTATGGTATTCATGTAGTCTTTGGATTTCTCTCTTTGGTCAGTAGTAGCCAGCATGTTAAATAGGGTCATGACAAAGGATGCTCTTCAATCTCCATGTAAAGTACATCTTCAGCCAAGCCCCTCAAATCCCATTCTACTCCAGCTGTGATGCCTTTAACAGAGGACTGTCTGTTAGACCAGCTTTCCAAAACAAAACCCTACCAAAACAGAACACACTGCAAAGACCATTTTCAATGGCCAAAGTGAGACTCATCTCTTACACGTGATTGGAAGACATTGCAGGATTAAAAATCTGCAAACTTTATACTTAGGATTCCTTCATACTTCCCAGTTATTTCTAACTGATGTATCATCTGATCTACGTCTCTCTCCATGAAGTGCAGAGTAGCTGAAAGAGTGGAACTCCTACAGTCTTCATTCATGCAGTGTTTTACCAACTTTTGGAGTTGAGAACTCCAAATTTTGAGTCAATAGTTTGAGATAAGGACTAAGGAAAACTTAAGGATCTTTCACAAAGAAATTGGAGCTGCAAACCTCTGACAGGTTGCCTTTTCTATCCAGTATGGAATGTGCCCCACACTTTTTAAAACAGCACTTGCCTTTGCCTAGCACCAAACAGTGGGATTTTAAGCCATGGCTTGGGATCCCTCAGCACTATGCACAGTAGTTGGTTAATAAGGGCACCAACATTGTTTTCTGACATGTAATGCTACTATTACTTCAAATATTTTGCTAATATTCTTTAATCTCTCCTTGTGATTGTCCCCTTCTGCATTTTCAGTTATCAACGTTTCTAAATGAAGGAATGTTGAAGCATGGAAGATTAGATAAGGAAATATTTAACATCAAGAAACTCTTTGCTCAGGGGGAGGGCTTTGAACAGGACTGTTGTATTGATTTGTTACACCAGAGCCTGTGTTTTATCAGCAACACATAAATCAAATGGTACCGTGCACAACAATGTACATACAGTTTTTAATAGAGAAAGGGAACCCGTTCTCTGTAGTGCTTCTGCTTGCTGGCTGACATGAGAGAATGAAGAGTGTGTCTTTTTCTTTTTCTTTTTTTTTTTTTTTTGTAAATGGAGAATGATGGAGTAGGTCTATGAGAAAAAAGACTGAGCTCATTTCAAATCCAAGGGAAGCTGCTCTGCTCCTGTCTCCCAGTGATTCATGAGCTGTCATGCATTACAGATGAATCCAGCTCGCTCTGACAAAACCCATGACCTGAGCACTTCTAAAAACCGTGGCACCCCAGGCAGGGTCGTGCATGCAGGACCAGGAGAGAAAGCAGGAATGTGGCTCTGGGAAGGGGCAGCCCATTAAGCTGCTGTGTAGCAGCGGCAGCAAAGTGTCTCAGAAGGAAACAAAAGGACTGTGAGCTGCGATGCTCCTTCCTGTTTTTGAGATTTCACTTTATCCTAAAACAACACCTCATCGATTTGAGCCAAGCTTTACTATGACAGGTCAAAACCAGCATAAAATCGTAGTACCTTTTTGTATAGGTTTATCTTACGTTAAACTCTGTTACTTGTCCCAGGTGGAGGATGCCTAGTTGCCTGTGTGTTGGATGACACTGGGCAATATCTGCCAGCATCTCTAGCTGTGCAGAAGTTCTGTTTTCTCTCCACGTTATATCCAGACACACATTTTGGGCTCCTTGTATCTCTTTTCTCTCCTGCAGAACAGTGGTGTTGAAGCAGGGGAGGCAAGGGTGTAAATGGGACTACTTACAGTATGTAAGAAACCAAGCAGAGTGTAAATGAGATACCTATTGAAGCTTCAAGCTTGGCATTGCTCAGGGAGCCCAACACAAACCTTCCTCCTCCATGGGGAGAATGTGCAGCATCCTGCCCTGCATCCTTATGGCTTGGTTTGCCCTCCAGCCTCCTCTCCAACATCCAGTTTGGGGTCATTGCAGTTATTTCACAGGCAGCACCATCCAGCGAGGCTTAAATACACAGCAGGGATGAGCCTGGCCTGCCAAGATCATCTCTTTCCCCATTAAAGTAAATTAAATTTGAATGGGTAGGAAGGAGAGCAAAATTTAGCCTGGTTTGTCTTTTCTGTGAAAAAGTTAATGTGGCACAGTGCCCAGGCAAATTCAGATTGCTCCGTGCTGTAATGCTGTTCTGCAGCTACCAAACTAGACCTGACTTGCACCCTGCCTGAGCCTGGTGAGCAGACATGCCCTAAGGGTATGTCTACACTGTAGGATAGAGTTGAGACCTGGACTTGGCGAGGCAAACCTGAGCTCTTGGTCAGCAGGGGTGTGATGTGAGATGTGTGTCCTTGGCTCTGGGATGGGGTGAGGAGGAGGAACAGGGAGGTGTCCAACCTCAGAAAGTCTTGTGATGCATTTGAGGATTGAGGTTGTGTGGTGGAAGGGCATTTTGGGCTGGCACATGCTGTGCTCAGTGATGGAATGCTCGTCCCATGGAGATTGTGCAGGAAGTCATGGCCAGGTTCATTTGTATGAGGGCATGTAACTAGAAAACTATAAAAATAGCAGGAACAAGTAGAACTTGCTTCTAGTGAAAAAAACAAAGACATTGCAATACATACTAAATTCCTTTCTTTTTCTTTCTTTCTTCATTCCTTGTCTTCTGGTTGCAAGTCATTTTTCTGCTTCTCAAATACCAGGCTCTTCTGTGCTTGCTTTGTCTCTAATCTACCACCTCTCATAATACATGAAGAAAGTATTTCTACAACCTGAATGATTCTGTGATTCTATTTAGTGATGGGACAAGGATAAGTGAAGTTGATGGCTGGACTTGATGACCTCGAAGGTCTTTTCCAACCTAAATGATCCCGTGATTTCCACTCTGCCATCTCACAGGGGTTTTTCCTCTGAGCTGAGCAGCGGGCCACGGGATAGGGAATGATGGCAAGGAAATGGAGAGTGAAGGCACTGTGCCCAAGTCAAGGTATGAGGATGCCCCAGTGGTTGAGTTTACTCGCAGCCTGTTTTTCCACTGAATGCTGCCAGCCTCCAAGCTGCTTGAATACCACATGCTGCTTGCATTGCTGTCTTTTCATCTGCCACCCCTTGGTGTCCCCTGAGGTGTGCAGGCTGGGGATGGCTGCAGGTGACTGGAAATGCTGCTGGAAAACAACCCCTTGTGAGGGAATTAACTCCTGCTTTTATTTATTTTCTGGTGTGAATACAGCTCTGAGGATGCAGGAGAGCTTTGCTGATGTTCCTTCAGAGTTTGAAATAGTTTTCTTTCTCAAAGGTATATACCTAGAAGAAATAGCTGCTCCCAAGCACCAGGTAATGCTGAGTTACTACAGACTCCTGTTTGTGTGCTTGTTCCTTTTACCTACAATTATGGCAAAATTGCCATCGTGTAAGCAGTGGGCTGTATGAATAGCTTTACTATTTATTATTGTTAGACCTAGATGTGTGTTTTTCTTTAGATCATATCTACACAAGAAGGCACAGTAATAATAGCCTTTTGGCTGCCAGAGCTCCAGCCAGCTTTAATTTCTAAAGACCATGAAGCTTCTGAAGCACGGTGCTGTTTATTGCTTTCTTTGTCCAATCAGTCACGGTGGAGGTGGCTCTGCTTTTTCCAGCTGAGATCTGGTGAGGGTGGGCAGTCGTGTTGTGTTTTTTTAAAGAAATTAACTGGGTATTTTTGAGGCTTAGACTTACAGTATCGTAGAATCGTGCTCCCTGGCTGGCATCAGCAAAAAGTTTCTTGTTACAGCCCAGTGCCAGGCTATTTTAAGCTGCAGGATTCCCCTTTTATGGAATTATTTTTCATGTGAGTTTAACTCCGGTGCTCATCGGCACTCTTTTTTGTTTCCTTCATATGAGACATGAAAGCCAATTTGGGATAGCCATGCGATAGCCGTCTGAGTGTTGGAAACATGACCAGATATGGATCAAGAAGGGGGAAGAAGAGATCATGCCTTCTTTCCAAGGTCCTCTATCAGGAGCTGAGGGGATCAGCTTCTTTCACTGCTGGATCTCAGTATTTCGAAACAATCCCAGGGTTTTGAAAGAGAAGGGTTTTGACATTTACTGTTTGGTGTTGGCAGGGCTGGATAAGGGAGATAAAGTGGCCTGTGACAGAGCACACAAGCTATCTGTGATCTGTTGTGCAACGACCGTCAGCGACTCTGCGTCTTTGTGTGTTTAAAGTGTATTTCCTGACATTTACTAGCAATTTTAAAGGGATTTATTCTTTGCTGTTTCATAATCTCTGGTTCAGAGTAAATTTGCAGATTTCGGAGATCAGAAGAGACCATTAATGCCATAGTCTGGGTCTCTGGATAGCTCATCCACCTAACTTCATCCCCTTCTGTACTGAGCCCAATACTTTGTGTTTAGCTATCTTTCAGAAAGGCATTCAGGCATGATATGAAAGCAGAAAGATCAACCACTAACCCAACAGTTTGTTCCAACATGCGATCATTATCACTATTTAAAATAAAATGGGTAATTTACTCCTCATTTTTCTTTGTGTGCCTTTGGCTAGAAGACTTACGCCTGAACATCCATATAAAAGCAAGTATTTCCTTAGCTCTTCCAAAAAAAAAAAAAAAAAAAAAAAAAAAACAGAGCAAAAGATAGAGTAGATATATATTGCAGTGAATCTGCATGGCTTTACAGAGAAAACAGAGCAGCATCCTTTAGAGGTTTGATGATGTGGTGTGCAGGCAGCCTGCATGCCTTTGTACAGTCATTTGGGCTGCATTAAGGTCCATACCATACCTTGAACATAACTTCTTCCAGTGCTGTTTCCTCTTTGTATGCATTTCCTCTTACCAGGCTGCCCAGGGAGGTGGTGGACTCACCATTCCTGGAGGTGTCCAAGAACTGTGGGGATGTGGCACTGAGGGACGTAGTCAGTGGGCTTGGGGTGTGGGTTGGGCTTGGGGATCTCAGAGGCCTTTTCCAACCCAAATGATTCTACAATCCTGTGATTCAGCCTTTTGAAATCCAGTGTCCAAAGTAAAGTTAAAGTTACACAGAAAAGTGAAGCGAGAGGGAAGGGTTGTAAAAAAGGGCATTTAACCACGTTCATGGAAATGTGTGAAAAATGGAAGTTGACCATTGGCAGCTTGGAGGCTATACTGCAGGATAATTTGGGAAGATGTTGTCGACAGAGAGTGTGGACCAAGTGGTTCACCTTGAATGAGTAATGTGAGTGCTGTCATTTTGTAATGTGATGCAAACCCAAAGTGTGGATGCTACCACTCCCAGTTTTTGGGCCAAGCTCTTATCATAGTATCAAACAACCCCAGTGAAAGTATGCAGAAAACAAATAGGGGAGAAAATCCTTTTCAGAGGTATAAAACAATCTTCTATTGTAAGGAGTTTGATCATTACTGGTGAGGCTTTCAAAGAAAACAGGACTGAGATCCTCTTGATGAATAGGAACATTAATATATTAGGTATGTATTATGTAAATCCATACTTCAGTGGAGTGTTAGATAAGATAAATGGGAGCAAAGAGCAGGCTTTGAAGGTTGCTGGCTTTGTGTGCACTGTGCCCATCCAAGGCTCGGCACGAGGCTTGCAGCCCAGAGGGACGGGGCTACCTAACAATGAACAATTATTGAATGAATTGTCGTGATAGAGACTGGCAAGCAGATAAGCCCAGGGATTTGTGCATTGTATCCAAATATCTGGCCTGGCCTTCGCAACTCGTGGGGCAGCGGAGAGAGGGACTGCAGTGGAAGCTTTGCCCAACATGTCTCCATCTTCACGATACACAGCCCTACAACATAGGACTGGGGAACTGATGAACCCCAGCACTGCTCTGTGCATGTGTTCTGCTTCAGATGGACAGGAGCTCAACAGTTCAGGCTGCTCAGAGAGGATGTGGATGCTCCATCCCTGGAGGTGTTGAAGGCCAGGTTGGATGGGATGCTCGGCAACCTGGTCTGGGACCAACCTGGAGGTTGATGGCTCTGCCTGTGGAAGGAGGGTTGGAACTTGACAAAATTTGGGGCTCATTTCAACCCAAGCCATTCTATGATTCTATGCTTCAACACCTTCTGCTGAAAGCTATCGTGGGGACCAAAAATTGGTTTGGTCTAGACATGGAAAAAAATACATGCCTTTTTTTTTTCCTTCTCCTTTCAGATGGATGCTGAGCACTTTCAAGCGGGTTATTTAGAAGGTTTGTGACCAGAAATCAAACCAGGCTGAAAAAAAATGTAGATCTACCTGTTTACATCATAAACCACGAACACATTTGCATCCTGCAACAAACACCTGGGCAACATCCAGTGGAGACATTCCCAACGTGTTAACTACTGCCAGGTAACTGGTAAACAGTTCAGGGCTGCAGTCTGGAGTGGAGAACTTTCCTCTGAGGCTGCTGCTTATAACGGGGCTTTCATTGAGATCCTGACCCCGAAGCGTCAGTAAAACATGGCACATTCTTGACTTTCAAACAAACTGCTGGGAGGTGGCCAGCGTGGAGCACAGAGCTGGGTTTTAGAGGGGCTGGAGCTGCACAGTGATGTGCCACCCCTTTCATTAGCTGTTGCTGACTGTGAAAATGCCTTCCTGGATAGGAATTGCACATAAAGGTGAATTATACAGGCAGCTCTTTAAGGCTCTGCTAATAAACACATGAAAGGAACGGAGGGAAATATGTGAAAATGCTGTTACACTGAACTCCCTTTACATGCCACCAGCTGGGGGGGAGTGAGTATTATTCAGGACTGAGCTCTCGTCGTAATTAACGCGTGTATTCCGTAATTAAGCGCTTCTTTAATTTCGCCGCGCAGGATGGCTCGGGTTGATCCCTGAACACGGCTATGGGTGCTATGGGATGGCTGTGCTGATGTCTATAGGGCAGATGCCGCCGGAGGGCAGCAGATGGTGCTGTTCGTCTCCTTTTTGAGGACGAGAAACCCGCAGCCTCCGAGAGATGCTGGTCCAGGGGCTCCGCATCCCAAATCGGGTTCCTGTGGTCTTTGCCACACCTTCGAGTGAAAAAACCCGGCGTCCTTTCCTCCACTTTGTGCATTTTTTAATGAGTTTTTGAGGCTTTTTTTTTTTTTTTTTTTCTTTTCCTTCTAACCGTGTCTCTTGTATTTATTTCTTTGAACAGCGCTGGAATCCTGTAATCACAGCACATCAAGATGATGGGAACTCAATTAAATTAAGGAGAAACACCAAGATTGTGAAACTTGGCGGCAGGACAAGAGCTGGTTGCAACACAGGCTGGACTTTAGGTTTGTTGGCAAATCAAATGCATCTGACACTGGTGATTGGGATGCCAGGAACAGTTCCCTGACCGCTGATCTACCCTGTGGGTCAGCAGGGCACGTTTTTGAGGGCTGACTCTCCTGGCCTGCACAAATCTGCATGCCCAATTTCACGAATGGCAGAAAATCCTACATTAAGGTGACATTTATCAGCTAATTTTTTAAAAGAAATTAACTGGGTACTTATGAGGCTTAGGCTGACAGTATTGTAGAATCGTTAAGGTTGGAAAAGACCACCAAGACCAGCAAGAGCCATCCCCACCATGCCCACCAAGAATGCCCACCAGACGCTGCCCATGCAGAATTAGGCTCCTTATGGATCCCTCTTCTATCTATGTAGCTCCCTTACTGCAGGGACAGACCCAAGCCCAACCTTTGCAAACATTTCCTACCAGGGCAGGTTGGATGATGAGGCACCAGTGGGTGCAAGGAAACCCTAAAACCCACAGAGGCCAGGGCTGGCAATGCCCCACATCCCTCCGTGCTGCTCAGCCCCTCTGCTGATGTTCTGCAGGAGAGCAGCAGATGATGGTGCTAAAAATACCCCTGGGCAGGGTAGCAGTGGTTCAGCTCTGGGCTTCCCAGAAGAGTGCTGGTATTTCAGCCTTGTGACTCCAGCTCTGGCCACCTGATGGGCAGCATGCAACTTTGCTCTGATTTCCCCATTTGGTAGGGAACAATCTCAGTAACGGATGGATATGTCAGCAAACAGCATAGTTTGTTTTCTTATTTTAGGTCTCCCATAGACATAGAGATGAATGACTCTGAAATATAGGCAGCACCTGGTCCTTCCCTGCTGTCACATTGTCCCCTTGATGGAAAAGCAAAGTAGATTGCTATATAAAATCCCTCTGTAGATGTGAGGAGGTAGCAGTAAACATGCAACCATCCAGGTGCCAAACATCCAGCCATTCTGCAACTTCACTTTGCCCATTGCACCTGGGGCAAGATGAGAGGAATTCCCCAAATCTGCCAGCACACCCCCCAAAATACCCCAGGCACCAGCTGAGAGCATCAGCTGTCACTGGAGTTTCTGTTCCCAAACCAGGTCCTGCTGGCACATCCCTCTGACACATTCTATAGAAGAAAAAAATAAAACCAGGAACTTTTTGACTTCTTCATTTATTTTTTTTTTCTTTCAGAAGCGTGACCTTTTGACCTGAATCATGACAAGTGATTATGAGGAAGAGCTGCTCTCACTTCTAAATTATTGCCATGCAATGAGCAGATTTCCACGGGGTGGCTGAAGTCATGTCCTGAGATACAAGGGATACAAGCATCCCATTCCTGCTCTACTTTGTACTACAAGACTGGTCTTAGTGAAGCTTATTCTCTTAAAATGTCCTCACTGGCTGAATAAAACACAATTTCTGTTCTAATATTGTTGGGCTGTGAAACATTGCAATAGAGGCACAAATGTGGGCAAGAACAAGTTTTACTGCAGACGCTTTATCTTCTGATAGATTGTCCCAGTGCTGCATTCCTCATTCCCTGGCAGTTTGGTCCAGCTCAGATTGGAAGATGGTGAAGATCTTGGGAGACCTCCAATAACGTGGGGCAAAATGCACTGATAACAGAAATGCAATGGCTTTGATTGATCTGTAGAAGGAAAAAAAAAAGAAACGGTCCATAGTGAGAATGCAGAATAAGATTGAGAGGAAAAGTTGAGCCCTAGAAGGGAGGCTGGTGCGTGGTGTATTCAATAATTGCATTTATGAATAAACAATTAAGTATTACCAATGAATCTCTTGCATTTTATTGACCCAGGCACAGAAGCTGCTTTTTGGCACAGATGACTTGCTCAGTTCACACTTGACAATGGGGAATTGTAGTGGCTGTTCCCTTAAGAAATCATCCAAGATTGGGACTTATTTGTGCACCATTGCTTGCGTCAATTAACAGCACAATCTTTTTGTTATGAAAACGCAAACATTAGTAGCCTAAGGAGCCTTGTAAATGCAAATATAAAACTTTAATTTCAGTAACTCCCACTTTCCCTTCAAGTACAATAAAGGCTCTTTTTTTTTTCATTTGCTGTTACAACGACAGGTCTTTATAATAATAATAATAACAATTATTATTCTTATTCCTCTTTCTCTTCACTTTAAAATTGAGTTTAACCCAAGGGATTTCAATAGGGATCGTTTTCCATCAGCAGATCTGGGGTGGCTGCAGCCAGTGCTGGGAGCTCTGAGCTCCTTGGGGCAGGTTGGTGCTGACCATGGGGAGGGGAGCAGGGCTGGGCATTGGGGCCAACCCTGGGCAGGGCATAATTCCCACGTGAGGATTCTTTCCATTCGCTCCAGGCAGCTGGAGAGCCTAAATTTGGCACCCATGTTTCTGCTGCAGGAATGAGAAGGAGACAGAGACCTTGAGACATGCCCTTGGCCAGGGCCACATTTTGGTGATCATTGCCACAGGGAATGATTTGGGGTACAAAACTGATGGTTTTACTGTGAGGTGGCACGAAAGGGAGAGCTGCCTTCTCGAGAGCAATGTGGGAGATGGCACCTGATGGCACCGTGATGAAAGAATTGGACAAAAACCCAAGGTCTGCTTTGCCCTTTCTATTTTACACCGCACATATACAAGTAAAATATTAAAACAGCCTCTTTGCTTTCTTCCTCCCATGTTGGCCCAAATGTGCCCGGGAATGTGTCTAAACAGATTCCTGGAAAACCTGCCCTCAGCAAGGTTCAGCTTGCAGCTCCTCAGGTTCCCCAGCATGCAAAGGGGAACTATGTGGCAAAAGGAGAAGAGAAGAGGTCAGATGCTGACCTGAACCTTGGGCACCCACAGGCTTTACCAACTGTCTCTGCATCCCTGCTTGGAGCTGGCAAAATGGCCAGCCCACCTCCAGCTGAGGTTCATGGAAAACACATTGTTAGCATCTTTGGCAATTTCTAATTAGACTAAAGGGGCAATTAGCCAAGGTATCATCCCTCACCTTGCTTCTAGCATTCTCATTACCCTTGTTTCACAAAGGTAGTGCTGCTGCTGCAGGGGGACGAGGCTGCTATAACTCAGTGGTGGTACTCAGCCTTCACCAAACCATCCAGTGATGTTTGGATTAGTCTTTAGCAGCCTTTTTCCAACCTTAATGATTCCATGATCCTTCAGCCCCAACAGGCCTTGTGATGGGCATTGGGGTCCCTGGTGCTTCATCCCCTGCAAAAGGATCTCAGCACACGGAGCAGAGCTGAAGGACAGGGGGAAAGCAAGAAAAAGAAGGAAAAAAAAGTTATTTGCCGCCACTTTGCGCCATAATCACCTTTTGAGTCCTCCCTTGCAGAGCTGGTTGTTTTTCCTTCCCCCTCTCCCTCCTATTGCGCTTTTCCGCTCCATAGACGCTAGAGGCTCCCTCCTTCCTTCGGCTCCGCGAAAAACTTTTAGTTCCCGACTCTCTCTCTCTCTCTTTCTTTTATTTTTTTAAAAACTTCCCTCAGGAAAAAAATGTGGACTTAATTATCTATGTAAAATGTCAGATGTAGGGAAGCAGGAAAGGGGCCGTGCTTACTTGGATATCCCATCCGAGGCGAAGTGACTGGGTTTTGTTGGGTTGGGTTTTTTTTTTTCCCATTTTTTTCCTTTTTTTTTTTTTTTTTTTTTTTTTTTTGCTAAGGGGTGGAAAGGACTTCGCGAAATAAAAGTGCAGCACCAAAGCCAGTGGTTCCCAGAGCGGCCGGGGCGGGCGCGGCGGGAGCCCCCAACGCAGCGCAGCGCAGCGCGGAGCCCACCTGCCCCCGGCAGCGCGCAGCGCTCCGCACCTCTTACCTCCGCGTAACCCATCCGCGCTCCTCTCCATTTTTATCCCTCCCCTCGACTTTTCCTCCAGGACTTTTTCCACTGCCTTGGGACACCCGCAAAATCTCCCCCTTCCCCTCCCCGCTCCTGGTTGTTGTTTTCTTTTTTATTTGCTGTTGTTGGTTTGGTTTTGGTTGTTTTTTTTTGTTTTGTTTTGTTGTGTTTTTTGTTGTTTTTTTTTTTTTGTGATTTTCTACTCATTTTGGTTTTGTTTTGCTACTTTTTTTTTCAAACTTTTTTTTTTTTCCAAATTTTTTTTTTTTTTTTTTTTTTTTTTTTTTTTTTTCTCTTCCCTCCCGCGGTGTCGGTGTTGGGAAGACCCCGCCCGCGTTTCTCCTCCCGTGCCCCAGCGGAGAGGCCGGGAGAGCGGGCAGCACCTCCCCGGCGCACCGCGTGCGGGCTCGGCTCGGCGCGGCCCGGCACAGCACGGCACGGCTCGGGCGTTCGCCCCCGATAATGCAGAGCTACAAGTACGACAAGGCGATCGCGCCGGAGAGCAAGAATGGGGGCAGCCCGGCGCTGAACAACAACCCGACCAAGGGCAGCAGCAAGAAAGTCCTGCTCATCTGCCTCGACTTCCTCTGCCTCGTCATGGGTGAGCTGCCGCGGAGCTGCTCCGTGCCCCTTCTCCCTTCTTTCCTTTCCTCTCCCCGGGTTTCTCGCTTCGGGTCCCGCTGGGGAGAGCCGGACCGCTCCGCTCAGCGAACAAAAGGGGCGCGGAGCGGATCCGAGGACCCTCCCCGCTGGGAGCAGACCCCCGCCTCACTGCTTAACGCAAACAACCCACGGCACAACGCTACTCTTTTTCTCCTGTTTCTTTCTTTCTTTCTTTCTTTCTTTTTTCTTTTATTTTCTTTCTGTTTCTCTTTGTATCGTTCTCTTCGTTACTTTTAGTTACTTATCTCTTCCCCCCTCCCCGCCGCTGTTCTCCTCTCGTGCAAAGTAAAGGGAGGGCTTTGTGGGGGGGTGGGAGGCACAGCCATACGGGCTCGCGGCGCCCCGGGAGCGGCCCCCGGCCCGCGGCTCAGCGCTGCAGCTCCAGGTGGAGGCAGTGCGCTGCGCTCCGCGTTGGGGAAACAGGGGAACTTTTCCCCTCTCAGCTCCGTCTCCGTGCTGTAGCAACGGGTCCGGCTTTCCTCGCGCGCTGTCGGTTTAAAGGCTTTGCTTTGAAGCGCTCGCGGGCATCCCCTGATCACAACGGTGGAGTTTCGCTTGCCAGCCCGCTTGGCTTTTGGAAGTGGCACGGCGTGCACGGGAACTGCCAGCAGGCCGTCTCCAAGAGGTGTTTTGCACGCCAAAACATCCACCGTTGGACGCTGGCTGCAATGCTGAATGTTTAATTGACAGATGCAGGCAGGGGAAATCAACCGGCTTCCAACAAAGAGATTAATAGCATGGCAGCACGTGAGTTTAATGCTCCAGACGCCACAGTCTTTAAAACAATTGTTTCTGCTTAGAGGCCGTTTTTTAAGGACTGTCAGTCTGATTTAATCTTTATGTAGTTTATTGATCATCTGGTGTGTATTACGAGGCACTAATATATGAAGAAGAGATGCATGGTTTTCTCTTCATATTCCCACAAGGATAGAGGCCAGCACAGAAAGCTTCATCATTGTCTATCTGGAAAAAAAAATTGAAAATATTTGATATCCTACATATTTTTAGGAGGAAGTTTTTCACCCAGAGGGTGGTGAGGCACTGGAACAGGTTGCCCAAGGAGGTTGTGGATCCCCATGCCTGGAGGCATCCAAGGTCAGGCTGGATGTGGCTCTGGGCAGCCTGGTCCGGTGATTGGTAACTCTGCATAAAGCAGGGGGGGGTTGAAATGAGGTGATCACTGTGGTCCTTTTCAACCCAGGCCATTCTATGATATACATGTGAAGCTACTGTAAGGAGAAACACAGCAAGCTTGACTTACCTCACTTATTGAAACAGAAGGTTGCATTCCTAGTAAAACAACTGCTTGGAGTCAGAACTTTAAAACTTTTGTTTACCCAAGTTTTCTTGACTTTAGGCATTCCTGGCACACACAAATGCTATTTAAATGGGTAAAGGTTTTTTTGTGCTGTGTTTTTTTTCCTTTTCCTTCTCCAGACTAAGAGTCTGAAATGAAAAAAGTAATTGCCATGTGTTATTCTACTTGAGATAGTTCTGGTAAACAGAACTTATCAAGCATTACTGGAAGGTATTGTTAGGGAGTAATGTGATACAGCAAAAGCTGTGATTGTTGCTTTGTTTCATGTTACTGCAGGTGGAAATGAGAGAGTAAACACAAGGGTTGTGTTTTGGGGTGAGGAACATTTGAAAGTAAGAGCAGGAATTCAATAGCTGAAGCCAAGAGTTCAAATCTGGCTAATGACACACAGGTGAGGAGCCCTGGTGGGCTGTGATAAGGGTGGTGGTTGTGTGATGGAGAGCGGATGGGCTGTTCAAATATACCCAGCAGCAGACCTGTTGATGGGTATCTTTGCTTGGGTTGCTGTGACATCCAGCTGCCCCGCTTGCAGTGGGCTTGGCTTGCTCTTTGCTCTGCATTTTTCTCAGGAAAATGAAGAGTTTGCAGTTTTCCTGCAGTTTTCCAAGTGCTTGGTTCCCATTTTTCTTCCTTCCTGAGCTTGTCACAAAGAAAACACTTTGGAGGTGAGAGAGGAAAAACAAATGCTCCAGCTGAAGCGTGTAAGAGAAAGGTGGATGGATACTTGTTGGTGGGTATTTACATCTTCAGTAAAGCAATAGAGTTCTAGGCGAGATGATGAGGAGAAGAATTGGGTGAAATGACCTTAAAGAGGTGGATGTACTTGGCAGAGATCTTCTGCTGGTGCACGTGTGCATGGCCAGTGGCCTCCTGTGCAGTTCAGTTACACCTCTTGAGTGGTTGCCCAAAGACTTTCAGAGTAACAGGGGAAACAGAAGGCTTTTCTCACTCGAGGGCTGCTTTAGGAAATATTAAAACCAGTCATTTGATTTGCAGAGGGCTATGACTCCACATTGGCTTCTGCTGTAGTTATTCTGCTGTAATTCTGCCCCCCAGATGAGTATTCTGTAGGGGAAAAATGGAAAGAATGAGCTATGGCAGAAATGCCTTTGAGAAATGACACATGCTTTTTGTGAGGCAGCAGATGCGTACAAACTCTTCTTTGTTTACATACAAATTTAAACAAATTACCCAGGAGACAATCATCATAAACATCTAAGAAAGTCAGAATAAGTAAAGCAGTGCTATCAGGAGCTTCCTTCAGCTGTAATTTGGTGAGAGTGTTAGAAAGATCCACTTTGTCTCTGCTCATTAAGTACAGTGGTTATCTTGATAGCAAATTCATGAGGGGAAGATCTGTATCTTTGCTGCTTGGGGATCACTGGAGTAGCTAGGGAGCCATGGGCAGGAGCTTGTTGCTTTGGTAGCTGGCAGTGCAGTGGGTTGGCTGAAGATCTGCTGATGGAGACCCCACATTTCCTCTGCATTTCCAGCTCGGGTTGGGCTGGCAGAGAGTTAAGTGTTTCCAAATGCCCCACTCTTAACGAGTGCACTTGGCATGCAAATGTGCCAAGCATCCATATTGGCAAATCTCTGCTTCCTTGTGCCATGAACCAGAGATTTCATCACAGATCCGGTGAACCTCCCCGAAAATTTGTGTCAGAGTTCACCTGGGCAAAAGAGGCATAAAAGGACTGAGTGCGCAGGGAGGGAAAATAACTTTCTCCATCTGCTTCCTCCTCTAGGGAGGGCTCTGTTTAGAGAATTAGAGGATGCTTCCTGAGATTGTTAGGGCTGCAGTAGGGCCTGGTTGTGTGGTAGAGTCATCTTGTCCTGTTCATGGCTCACTGTTCACTTCAGTGCATCTGAAAACGGGGCTGAACCGGCCCTCTGTAAGCCAGAGGAGTTGAGGAGCAACGGGGGAGGTCTGGGGAGCAGCAGAAGTAAGAGGTGTGATGGGGGACCCCACATTCAGTTGGCCATTGTCTGCGTGGAGAGCTCAACCAGCCATCCTCTTTCTGCACAGGACAAGGGCCAGGTAAGGATATCCTCCTCCCCTGACCCTTTAGGTGTGGGATGTTTGGAGGCTGTTCCCACGGAAGTAGCATCTGTGGTTAAATGTGCTCTCCTCTTGGACCTGCTGTTTTCACATGAGGCCAACAGTGAGCAGCCACCTGTGCACTGCTGGTGGCCTGCAGGAGAAGGGTTTCATGCCAGCAGAGGGGAGGGCTGTGTCAGCAAGGCCATAGGGCACGCTGGGGTCTCCAGTAGCGCGTGTTTTTGCAGCTTGCACAGGTATGACAACTCCCAAAACGTCCTGCCTGTGCAATAAAATAGTGGGATTTCATCTGGCTTGCCCCTCTCCTGTGGAAATCAGGTCATATGCATGTCTTTAAGGCTGCTGAGTTGTAAACTGCAGGTAACTTGCTGTGGGTCTCATTTTCTGTCTTAAATAGTTTTCTCTTTGTTGCCAATCCCAGTTACTCTGCATAACAAAAGTTCTGCTGCCTTCAGGAGGTTTAGAAGCAGCATATTGATGGGCCTCTTACACCCTCAGTATCTCTTCAGCTTTCACACTCATTTGGCATCTCTTCTGTAGTGAGCTTGATGCTACAATGAACTTTGCGTGTAAATATTTACGCTAGCAGGACCTTGAAATGTTTATGTAAGCGGGGATATAATCTTGTAATTTGGGATAACAGTTTAGGCTACTCTTAACTCTCCCCTCCTGTGTAGGAAATTGTGTTGTCCAGCTTGCAGGAGCAAATAAAAAGATTTGGAGCTCCACCTGAGCCCCTGCTATGCCATCACAAAAATCAGTGCAAACAGGCCTGGCTTTGTCATTTAATTGTAAGGAGTGGGAGGAATTAAAGATGAGGAATGAGGTTAGAGTTCTTTGGGTGCTGTAAAGCTGAATTTGATGAGCTAAGCAACTTTCCTTTGTTTGGGTTGTTTTGTTTTTTGTTGTTGTTGTTTCGTTTTTAAGACTGCCCCGCCGTGCAGGGCTCACTGATGTGTAGGTAACATCTCTCCAGACGTGCCTGGAGAAACTGCTGAATCAACAGTTTCTTATTTTTCATCCGAGGACACAAAGCTATGAGAGCACTAAACCAGCCAGGCAGTCCCAACGCCTCGGTGTTGCCTTCCATGGGCTGGGGAGGACTGGCCCCACACACCGCACGCAAGGAGCTGTGTGGGTGGAGAGCCGTCAGTGTGCTTGGAGCATCCTTAGATCAGGTTTGGTTGTTCATGTTTACATATCACTGATGTTAATCCTGCTAGGATCTCTCTGTGGCAGCGTGCTCCCTGTGAAGCAGCAGGGTTGGCAGCAGCCTTGGAAGTGCTCTGGCAAAGAAAGTCTTGCAGAGGTGGCATCTTGGCGAGGGGTTGTGTGGTGGCATCCCACCGTGCCTTGGTTGAGATGCTGAGTGTTTGAAAAGATCTTATTCAACCAGCAATCAAAATGGAAGCATGATAGCCATCATCAGTTTTTGCCCCTTTCTTGAGAAACCAAACTAAAAGCCAATGATGGCTGGAAGGAAAGATGAGAAAAATGTTTTTAAACGTCCCCAAAAACATGTTGTGTAGGCTTTATAAAAGCTGGAGGGGGGGGGGGGGGG